GAAAGAGAGAGAGGTGGAGTTTTAGAGAGGAAGAGAGAGAGAACGAGAAAGGGAAAGGTGGAACGGAAACAAGATCGGCGACGAGAAAGACGGAGACGGGCAAAGTGCCTCGCAGACCCGACGAAGCAAGAGATATATAGAAGTTGGGCGCGGGGACAGCCGGAGGAAGAGGGAGGGAAGAGAGAGAGAGAGAGGGAGCGAGAGGGAGAGAGAGACGCGAAAGCGTAGGGTAGCAATTGATGGGACAGGGTGGCGCGTTTGTTGAGCTAATTACTGTAAGGCGAGGCGCTTACGCGCGCCGCTACATACAAACGGCATTAAAGGTGGTGGCCATCAATCCCCGTGGGTCCCCTTTTCCAGTCCTGGCAACTCGCCTCCTCCCAACCTCTCCTGTCTTCTCCGGGGTATCTCTGTCTCGAGACCGCGACGGTATCCTGTCTTCTCCCAGCCGAGAAACGCGCGCTCCATTCTCCGCGCCCACATATGATTTCACCGCTATTAATCGGTTATAATTCAGCCCGTCGCTCGTCCTTCCCAGATTTCTATTGCCCGGGTCGGACATCGAGAGGAGGTCCCCGAGCGCGTCCCGGTAAAAGCCGATCCGTTTCTTCGTTGCGCTCGAGAAGAGAAAAGCCCGCGAACAGGCTCGCGAGGTTCGCATAGATCACCTCGTCCTCGGTTGTTGCTCGACGGCCGCTCGGAGATCGGCGGGGCCCGACGAGGGCGGCGTGGGTGCCCGGAACGCGGCCGTCCGATCTCGCCGAGTTCGCAAAGGGACGCGCTGCGACGCGCCGCGCCGCGATCCGATGCGATGCGATACGATGCGCTGCGATGCACGTGTCCGGGCGGACGCTACGCGACGCGCCGCGCCGCGCCGTTGCGACGCGACATAAATAATCGCGGTCGATAATTAAGACGGCGTTTCGGCGCTTGTGCGTGTACAGGCCGACACCCNACACCTCCAAAACGAGCAGAAGGCTCGAACGATCGCGAGGTGCGGACAGAGAGACAGAGACAGAGAGAGACAGAGAGAGAGAGAGAGAGAGAGAGAGAGAGAGAGAGAGGCGGAGGGTGAAGGGATACAGTGAGGCCTCTCGAGCGACGCGACGACGGGACAGAGAGGGAGAAGAAGAAAGACAGGGAGAAGTCGATATACACGCACGAATGCGCGCTTCGTGGTTTTTCAATCGGGTTTCGGCGCATTCTTTAATTCGTCGCTCGAGGATAACACCCCTTCCTCCTGTTGACCGGTCGGGCGCGTGTACGCGCGTACGTGTACACACGTAGCCACGCACACGGCCAGCCGCCACGTTTCTGCATTTGCATTCCCGACGCAAGAGGTGCGCGCACGCCGCCAAGACAGGAGGCATCGAATGTTTAATTCAAGATACGTGAGAGTGTTGAGCCGGAGAAACGAAGCGAGGGAGAAAGACCGCTCGCGCGCGCGATAGAGAACCGGGTGGAGAGACAGAGAGAGAGAGAAAGAGAGAGAGGTGGAGTTTTAGAGAGGAAGAGAGAGAGAACGAGAAAGGGAAAGGTGGAACGGAAACAAGATCGGCGACGAGAAAGACGGAGACGGGCAAAGTGCCTCGCAGACCCGACGAAGCAAGAGATATATAGAAGTTGGGCGCGGGGACAGCCGGAGGAAGAGGGAGGGAAGAGAGAGAGAGAGAGGGAGCGAGAGGGAGAGAGAGACGCGAAAGCGTAGGGTAGCAATTGATGGGACAGGGTGGCGCGTTTGTTGAGCTAATTACTGTAAGGCGAGGCGCTTACGCGCGCCGCTACATACAAACGGCATTAAAGGTGGTGGCCATCAATCCCCGTGGGTCCCCTTTTCCAGTCCTGGCAACTCGCCTCCTCCCAACCTCTCCTGTCTTCTCCGGGGTATCTCTGTCTCGAGACCGCGACGGTATCCTGTCTTCTCCCAGCCGAGAAACGCGCGCTCCATTCTCCGCGCCCACATATGATTTCACCGCTATTAATCGGTTATAATTCAGCCCGTCGCTCGTCCTTCCCAGATTTCTATTGCCCGGGTCGGACATCGAGAGGAGGTCCCCGAGCGCGTCCCGGTAAAAGCCGATCCGTTTCTTCGTTGCGCTCGAGAAGAGAAAAGCCCGCGAACAGGCTCGCGAGGTTCGCATAGATCACCTCGTCCTCGGTTGTTGCTCGACGGCCGCTCGGAGATCGGCGGGGCCCGACGAGGGCGGCGTGGGTGCCCGGAACGCGGCCGTCCGATCTCGCCGAGTTCGCAAAGGGACGCGCTGCGACGCGCCGCGCCGCGATCCGATGCGATGCGATACGATGCGCTGCGATGCACGTGTCCGGGCGGACGCTACGCGACGCGCCGCGCCGCGCCGTTGCGACGCGACATAAATAATCGCGGTCGATAATTAAGACGGCGTTTCGGCGCTTGTGCGTGTACAGGCCGACACCCGCTGTCTCCTCGCGACGTGACATCGGGCTCACGCGTGTAGACACGCGAGACCGCGTCCGAGCCACCGAGGGAAAATATATCGTCCGCCCTCGGCCCATTCCTCCTCCAACTCTTCGTTCGACCGCTCTCCCGGCCGATCTCTCCCCATTGGTTCTTCACCGGGATGGAATCTCAGCGATTCCCGCGAACTTTCGGACACCGAATATCGTAACGGGCAGGGGCCCGTGTACGGTCCCGCGCGGACAGAATGGAACGAAACGGAACGATAGGGCCGTGGAGCGGTGGCGAAGAGAGGAGCTCGAAGAGAGGAGCGAAGGGAAGAGGGTAGAGGCAGAGCGCGGTGGAAGCAGAACCCGAAGTCGAAGCCGAAGAACGTGTCGTATGCGAGAGCTCTGCTGTCACGGCGGAAAGTATTGCGCGGATTCATCTGGATAAACCTTGGTACGATCAATCACCTCGCGATTAACCGAACTGCCTACGAAATTGAACTCGAACGGTGTAATTTATAGTGGTTTTTCTGGAGAAGATAAGACGCGGTCGTCGCAGCCGGTGACGGAACCGTGTCCTACACCGAAAAACCCTGTTCCCGGGGTGAAAAAGCGGATCGTCAAGACGCGACGCGTCGCCGTAGAGCGTGTTCCATCGTCTGCTCGCGAGATCGTTGTAACGTCGTCGAGGACGATCGGCCCGGTAAAATGGTTTGTTACGTCTCCGGCGGCGTTCGACGTTATTAACTGCCTAAATAAGTGACGCGACGGTGCGGCGGCATCTCGCGATGCGGAGACGGCGACGGCGACGGCGATGCGGCCGCTTCTCGCGAGAGGGAATCCTGCTGCCAGTGACATAAGTTCCCGAGTGTAATTAGGGGAATAAAGTCCGCGGAATTTCGCGAGCCAGAGCCACGATGCCCAGCTACGATCGTAAAGAGGACGAGTGTCCTGGCGTAATCCGAGGCCCGTAGACTCGTTGCGAGCAGAGGGGGCTGCCGCGGAAACGACGAGGACGCGTTAAGGAACGATGGCGGAGGGCGTCTCGGTGCCGACGTCGTCGTGCCAACCCCACGGGGCGCCAGGCTCGTTATATCTTCATTAAGCGGTCTACCTAACCATCCTGTCGCGACTTCTTAGCACTTCGCAGTTCACACTAATTTCGCGTTACCTTTTTCTTTCTACATATCGGTTTCCTTGTTTCCTTGTTCCCTCGTTTCCACCGTTTCTACCCCGGGAACCGGGCCGAACCCGCAATAAACACGCGCAAAAAAGAACAACCGCGCGACGGTGTTCCGTTTCTCTTCGTTTCTTAGAGCCGCGGCCTCGCGGCTAAACCCTCTTCTTTACGGACCCCGAGCCGTCTTCGAGGCTCGCGACGTCGTCGATCGCGCGCGTTCGGGTTTCGCCTCGGTGACCGATCGCGGGCGCCGGAAACGAATCTCGGCGACCGCGCACCTCGGGCCCACTCCGGGCCCGTCCGCTCGACTTTCCCATCCGGACGGAGCGTGTTCCCCGTCGGAGTTTTTCTTTTGTCCGACGCGACCCGGAGGACGATACTCGCGGAAGCCCGCTCGGCCGCAGAGTTGTTGCAAAATTTAAACGCGATCCTTTGTCCGTGGAGTAACGCCCGCGAGTTTCGTGGTCGTGGTCGTGTTCGACGCAGGATCCCCCTTACCAAGGAAATTCCAAGTCGCCGAATCGCCGTAAGATCGGGACGCGTCGTTATGGGTCTGCCTGCTCTTTTCTCCTCTCTCCCACCTTCTCTTTCTTTCTCTCTTTCTCTCTCTCGATCTTGGCTCGGGCCTGTGTTCCTCTGGGTTGGTTTCTCGAGCAGGGACAGAGGTAGGAGCAGGATCGGCATCGGCATCGGCATCGGCATCGGCATCGGCATCAGCATCGGCATCGGCATCGGCATCGGCATCGGCATGGGCATCGGTATCGGGGCGGAGGACCCGGTCCACGGCCAGAAGGAGGACGCGGTCGTAAATATTCGGGCGCCAAATAATGCCGGTTCCGAGCGAGAGCAAGCGACCACGACTGCTGCTCGACCCGTAATGAAGGACATCCTCGTTAATTAGTCAATAAATTATCCTTCGCGCTCACGACGCCCGTGGTCTCCCTCCTCTCTCCGTCTTTCTCGGTCGCTCCGTCCTGTTTGCCCGAGAGAACTCAAGGGCCGCATACTTTACGACACCTATCTCGCGCGACAGCACGATGCATTTCTCACAATCAGGACCCTCGAAGACGGAAACGCGTCTTGTAAGACGATCCACGAGGTGGTCCGCCGCTGGCTTTCAGCCACGATGAATTTTTCAACGACCGTTTCGTCCCGTTTCCTCTCTTCTCTCTTCCCTTCTCTCGTCCCACTTCTCTTCTCCTCTCTCTCCCTCTCTCTCTCGTTCTCTTTCCCCGCCTCTCGCGACTCCCTTTTCGGCCCACCGCTACTCCGCCTCGAACCGTTCATTCGCGTTTCTCGATATCGCTCTCGAATAGGACAGGACGAATAAAGTACAAGCGACGAAATTAGCGATCTCGTTCGATCGTCCGGTCTCCCCGGAGCGATAACAACAGTCGCGCATCGGTAATTAGCAGTTTTATTTCGGAAACCGATATACACGCCGATCGGCTTTACGATCCGGCAGCGTCTTTGTTTCTCGGAACGGTGCGCGCGTACACAAGTCGGGGGATGTTGGAACGGCGAGCGCTAAACAACGCGGCGACAGGTGGATTCTCGCGATCCTCCCCGCCGCCCTCGCTGCCGCCGCGTGCTCCGTGGTCTCGCCGGCGCGAAACTCGGTTGTGCACGGGGCATAAAGATTCGATCGTATACGCGTCGAAAGTCCGTACCGTGCCACGTGACCGTACATCACTTTAACTATTTCCTGGCGTGGTACAGGCCTACCGGTTCGCACGACCGCGAGCAACCAAAGACCCGGCACACCGATGCCATCGTTGTCCGAGATTAACGCATCCGCGCGGCCCGCTCCCGTCTCTCACGGTTGTCCGGACGATTCGGCGCGGAAGGACGACGGTCGTCCCGCGAGACGAGACGAACGCGTTCTATTCGTCGATTCCGGGGGAACAATATTCGGAAGAATTCGTTTCTCACGCCGAGCGGACCGGGAAGGGTCCCGTCGCGTCGCGCCGCGCCGTTCCAACGACTTTAACGCGGGTGCGGACGCGCGCGCGCGCGCGCCATAAATTGTCACTCCCTCGGATCGGTAGACGGCCTCCGCCGGAAATACGAGGCAACGGGAGAAACTCGGAGGAAAAACAATCTCTGCCTCCGAGTTAACTCGGCGTTTCGGCGAAGCCCGCCGACGAGTCCCGAGGACGGACCTCGAAAATTCCGAGGACGTAATCGCTCGCGTGACTGGGCGTCGGAAAAACGTCCTCGTGCGCCGCCAGAAGGTGTGCCCGTAGTTCTTTCGCGAAATTCGTCTGGAACGGGTCCGCGTTCTTCTCCCGGCAAACGTCGCATTCGTAGATCGTCTTGCCCGGATGAAGATTGGTGGAAAGTACGTGTTTCCGTAGGTTCTCCTGGAACAGAAAGAAGAACAGGTTCGAACGAACGAGTGCGTTTGTCTCGCGGTCGGCCGACGACGAAAGAAAGAAAGAAAGAAAGAAAGAAAGAAGGAAGGAAGGAACGGAAAGGTGCACCGCGCTCCTTTCTCGCTCTCGTCGCTGGTCCGTGTGAATAGGCGGTAGCCGGGTACGTTTCGAAAGCCGCGCGAGTTCAGTCGGGTCGGGCTCGACTCGACTCGAGGCGATTCCGAGTCCGTGGCGAGGCGAGGCGAGGCGAGCCCGAGCCGTGAGCGGAGTCGACGTTGGAGCGAGCGGAACAGGAGGCACGGAACGGGCTTTCGTTGGTATCGGTCGACAGTGAATACCTGCGACCAGAATCGGTCTGCCGCAAACCGGACGCGTTCATTGGCTATGCCATGGAGCATTTAAAGGCGCTTTACCCTCTCGGGCTAAGTAGCAGGCCGTAGTCGTAAACATCTTCCTACCAGGCGGGCTTATACGAGCCGTTGATGGCAACGGCAACATCAAATTTAATTTCCCATAAGTAAATCTTTCCACGGGCAGTGCTCCGTGACGGTCTCGGATAAAGACCCGTTCACACCGTCATGGGCGGTCGTCCACCTCTGCGGCGAAACGGTCCGGCCCGCGGAAAGTGAGCACCGTCACGCGAATCGCCTATCAGGCCTTTCGTTAAATCCGATCGATTCCGATTTCACCGGACATAATATTCCGGTAGATCGGGGATGTACAAGCGATGCTATGCCGTACGTTACTAGGCCGGGCTCGCATTCCGGGCCTCTTTACGAGACTCCGTTCTAGGATTTCGAGCCGCGCGCTCAGCTTTATCTTCCCTCCGTTTTATTTCTTCGCGGAGATTCCGCCCGGTTAATATTAATTTCCTTCGGTACGCGGGGCTGCCTTACCGTAACTCCGGGACTTAAATGTTCCCGTAACGTATGTATGAAAATTATCGAAACCGGCAATAAGTCCGGTATTCCCTCGGACGGCCCGCAACAGCACCCCGGCCTCGCCGCATCACGTCGCACCCCGCCGCACCGCCTCGCCGCGCCACGCCGCGACGTTCGGGCTACTTGTAAAATTACAAGCGCAAACTGTCGGGGGATCTTTAACTCGGACCGAGATTACATCGAACGGGTACCGAACGGGCCCGCGCGGGCTTCCACTTCTTCGCTTCGCCGCGAATAAATCTGCGGCTCCTAGGAAGAACGTCGGATGTCACGCGCGTTTCCATTTACGAGACGTCGTCGTTTCAGGCCCTGATCGCCGATCCTTCGAATTGTAGCATCGCGGCTGTTAAGAAATCTGCCGCGATACTTAATTGGACGCGAAGTTACCGCGATACAACGATAAAAAACTTTTAACGCTCGGATAAATATGCAACCGTCTTTGCGCGTGGATCTTCGATCGAGATTTTATGGTTTTCTAAGTCATTGGACACGATGTCCCGCCCGAATCGCTCAAACTAGAATGTAAAACGAAATCGCCGCAGCGACGTATCTCTCAATCTGGCCAAGATCCCCCATCCCTCGTCGAGAGTTTGAAAACTCTTTCATTGAAAATTCAAGCATGCTCCATGAAAGAGCCTCAAGAAAACTTTGCAGAATTACAAAATAAGGAAACGGTCATTTTGGTTTAGCATTAAACTAAATCTATGGCCGCTCGGTCATCGTCGCATCGAATCTTTTATTATCCTCCCCTACGAACTCCTTGATAATGGCATTATTACCTCGCCAGAAACACGCTTCATGTTTACTTTAACTATACCAAGATGAAGTTTATTTCGCTTCAAATTTAAATTCACTTCGTTTTCAAATTAAGTCGTCTTAATTACAAGCTTTTGCGTCGACCGAAACGTTTCGAAATCGCGGGATGCCGTGGTTTCCTCGCAATCAGAGAAACGCGCGTCGCGTTCGCGGCCGCGATCGAAAGGATCCGATCCGCGGCGATCGATGGATCTCGATCTCGATAACGAATCGCTCGGAGCAACGGATCGCCTCTTGTCGGGTCGATATAGACTGAAAACGATTTTCGCTCGTTATCGCGTCCCCTGCTCGCGAATACTTTACGAGGCTCATCCAGCCTGGAAGAAAATTGAAGAGGGAGATAAAAAGCGGCAACAGCCGGGGTAAGATGCGTGGAAGCGCGAAGCAGATCCGAAAGTAACTAGCGCTGCCTTCGAGAATTACCGCCGCCGCCGCCTGCCGCCGCCATCGCCCCGGCACCGAACAACCGAACCGTAAGTTTCCCGAGAGCGCTGCCACGCCAAGAGGAACACAGATACCGAGGAACCGAGTCGCCGAGGAGTGGAAGGGAAACGTAGACACGGACGATCGGGGCGGACTGGTACAGAAAGACTGGAAAGAGAAAGGAAAGAACCGTGTAACCGTCCGAGCTAAATCATAACGTGGATGCTGCCACGAAGGGGGATGGAGTAACACAGGGTGGGAGGGGTGGGTGAGAGCAAAGTGGGAAGGAAGGACGGAAGGCAGGAAGGAAGGAAGACAGGCAGGCTGGCAGCCAGGAAGGAAGGAAGGAAGGAAGGAAGGAAGGAAGAAAGGTGGCGCGTGTAATCTTGTTGACGCAAGGCAAGCCACTCGCTACGTGGGTGGGAATTTCGTCGTTAAATCGGCTCGTACGCTGCTCGCGCGTTTCTTCCTTATTAAAGTCTCACCGGGTAAACGGGCATCGCCGATCTCGATACTCCGTCGGAACCGGAACGATATCTATCGGTCCGCGTTTCGCGTATCTTACGCCCCGTCCCGTCCCTAATCGCGGCGCGCCCGCAGTTTTCCCTTCGGCAGGCGCCGCGCCGCTTTAATCCGCGGGGTGGCGCGATCCGAATCTGCGTTTCGATCAATTTCCGGATGGTATCGGGACACGCGTGCGCCACTGGCGAGATCGGAGATCGCACAGCAGGCCGATCGTGGTTTTTTTCTTTCGGGCCGCGAAACGCGGTCCCGGCACCGGTTCGGAAGTGCCTACCGCTGTATCATTACCGATGCAAGACGCAACATTCGCAATTCCCCGTACCGCGAGATTACCTAGGCTCAAGTTATCCCGGGCTGAGAGCCACTGGAATGAGTTTATGTCGCTATCAAAGAGACACGGAGCCCTCGTATGCGAGTCGCATCCTAACTAAAGCTTCAAAGGGCATTAGCATACCGGCCGCTCGGTATGACTGGCCCGTGCGTGTGTGGGCATCCAGTGAGCACAATTAACTCGTTATCTTATCGCGCCTCGGTGGCGGCAGAGGCGGCGGCATGGTCCAAACGTTAAGGTGTACTTTGCTTAATTTACGCCACGGAGTCACCGCAGGAACAAAAATTGAACTGCGAGTCAACCTCCGCAGCGGCCGCGCGCTAAACAAGAAGAAACGAGACGCCGCGCCGCGCCGCGGTCGCGCCGCATCGCGACACGATTCCCGCCGCGATACCCCCGCCGCATCGATCAAATCGATGCGCGTCCTGCCTGCCTCCTCTGCCGCATCCCCGGCCCACAGTAATTTCAACCCCGCCGTGAGCGAGAGAGACTCGTCGAGCCGCGATCCCGCCGGATATCGCGCGCGCGTTTCCGTTGTCGTCGCGCCGCGAACCCGACGGACATCTTTTCGGCCGCGGGATCAAATGCACACCCACCAACTTACCAAGTTGTTACTCGCGTAAGCGCAATGCCGACATTTGTACGGCTTGGTTCCCGTATGCAAGCGCACGTGCCGCTGCAAATGAGAGCCGAGTTTCGTTTTAAAACCGCACCCGGGGTAAGGACAGGCGCGCACCGACTCCGATTTCATTGCATCCGCGGGATCCTCGTGGCGACTGCGATGTCTGTAACCAACAAATTACATTTTCGTTTAGTCGTTTTTCCCTCCCTCCCCGTTGCTCATCCACCCCCCACCCCCGGCTTCGCCCGTCGTGCACCGAGATTAAAGGGAAACACCGTGGACGCGGGAAGGAGCTTGGAAGAGAAGGGCGAGAGAGGGATCTCGCCTGTAAATTGTAGGCACATCTTGCGGGCTCCGAAGACGCGGGCCCGGCCCGGCCCAGCTCGGCTCGGCAAGTTCATCGTCGCAGCGACACCGGTGATTATGAACGATGCGATATGCGTGCGCGATATTACGAGGGAGCCATTGGCCACGGCTACGGCTACGTGTATATCAGGTTCGAAATGCGTGACACGTTTAATTAAAATCCTGCGTGATTTACTCCGCCGCACAGAGTGTAAACGAAAGAGACGGAGCGAGATTCGCGGCGGGAGGAAGAGGGACACCCCGGCGACACTGCCGGGAACGATGAAAAAGAGAACGAAAGGCCGAACGAAAGAGAAGGAGGGAACACCGGAGGAAAGGAGAGAGAGAGACGGTATGACAGGATGGGAGGGGGCGGTCGGGGGTAGCGAGAACAGAGAGAGAGAGAGAGAGAGAGAGAGAGAGAGAGAGAGAGCACCGTGTACACGGACGAGAGATGGGAGAGAAAGAGAACTCGTGACACTCTGTGGCTGCGTTGAGTTCGACTCACGTAGTAAGTACTCAATTCGCGATGAAATATCGCGTCGACCATCGCCATGCGGACGATCATAACGGGTTGCCCGCACTTGGCCGGCTGCTGCACGCAACTTCCGCTTTCGGTGCTCGCTCTTTCTCTCTCCGTCTCTCTCTCTCTTTCTCTAACACCCCCACTCGCGCCCCCACCCTCTCTCCTTTTTCCTCTTTTC